AAAGCACAGAACTCCTAAAGATGGTATAATCCCTTACTATATGGAAATAGGAGCTTGTTCAGAAAACATATGTCTATGTTTGGATGTAAATCAAAATTATATACATAATAAGACTGATGTAAAATTTTTTTGCTCAGTAATACTGAAAAAAATTCACTACATTTAATAGGTATGAACGTTTTAAAATCAGCACATTTTAAAATTTGAAAAGCTTCTAAACCCTCCTCCTCCACGCCCCCAATCTCCCCTTCTAGTTTGTTGACTCTGCATCCCACTCTGAGGCACTGAGGTATAACATGAGCCTCTGAGGTTCCTCACCCAGACCTGGATCCTTGGCAGTTTGGGGTCAGAACTGCTTGGCAGTCAGATACCTTTTATTTACTCTGTGTTGGCTACAAAGGTGAATCTGCAAAACATGTCCTCCTCCTAAGCATCCCTACTATTAGTACTTTCCACACAGCTAATACAGGATAACTTACATTATGTTAACATCAGTTCCAAATGTGATCTTTAAAGTAAAACCTTGACTTCGGGGAGCACATTTTGGTTTTCATTTTTATTAGGTTGACAGAAAAATAATGGAGCAGGCAGTTGTGTTTCAAAACTCTGATATTAATCCTATTTACTTAATCATGGGTCTTTTGATCTGTCATATTTCAATCATATTTAAATTTTCATACTGAGAGTAAACATCAAAACAAAATGGAGCACAGCATCTAGTTAGTAATTGGATATTACACCCTCCAAAGCCAAAGTTCTGCATAAAATATACCAAAGAACCACAAAAGTTAGTTACAAAATAAATCTTATCAACCAGTTAGCAACGCCCCAATGGCAGCTCCCACTCAGACCTCAAGTCACTTGCAAGATGGAAGCAGCAGACAGTTATAGAGGATTGGTTAGAAATGCGAGGACATATGAACATGGCTAAGGCTATGGATGAGCTGCTAAAGTATAAGACGCAGTCTGACTAGGCCCATGAGAAAGTCTGAGATAGCAGGGCCGTGAGAAAGCGGCAGCGTCCTTGGGTATTCTAAATTGAGCTGAAAAACAGGAGCTAGGCATTACCAAAACAAAGACACTTAACGAGCCACCTGTGTAAACAATGAAAGACAGTTAAGATGATGTCACCACCTAACTGAGTACCAATAATGAGCCTAATTTCTGTAATATTCATGAACCTATTATAGAGTGTATATTAAGCTGCTGTCAATCTACAATAAACGAAGTTCCTGGATTCTCACATTGAGGTGTCTAGAGCTTTCCGTCGCGACAGACAGTAAATGAAACAGCTTGGCTTTGAAAGCGCCTCAGCTGGCAAAGCACTGAGCGCTGCAGACCCTGCGCTGAAATGCCTGTTGGAGGGATCCCAATGAACCACCTCAGACCAAGCTGCCTGCAGCTTTGGAATGTGTTAACTTGTGGAACAGCCAGAGTAAGTAGCAGTACTTAGCTTCTACCTCTAACTTGGAGGGAAAATCTTCACTAGTAAAATTTTGAAACCTATTCTTGGGTAAGGTCAAAGGTGAAAATTAAGTAATCACATTTAAATCAAAAGTTGTTGTTCATTAAGACTTTGCTTCAGTTAATAAATGTTCAACTATTTTTTTTCCTTAGTCCTATTCTACATTTTTCTCTTTTTCTCTTACTATGTTTTCTAGGCTTTTATTTTAAAATTCAGTCTCATGAAAACTTATGGATAAGGTATAAAAACGTTATTCCATTTTACTGACACAATGTTATTTCTGAGGGCAATATTTCACATAAACGTCACAAAATTCATAAGCAGTATGAGAACTCATTTGAATAGTTTATTACATCCTTGATTTGGTATAAATAAAACTGATACATTCTACTGTTTTCATCCCTGTCATGCAATTCCAATATTCATTGCTGCAATAAATTAGGTCTTATAAACAACGAAACATCATAAAACAAATTCAAGAGAAGCTGTAAATAGGGAACAAAAAGGAAATTATCTAGTGCAATCTTTTTGAGTGCAAACCCCTTGTAACATGTTGCAACCAGCCAGTTAATAATTGCTTTGTAAATTTGAAATGAAGCAGAGGGGATAAAACTAACAAACAAGTCATAAAGTACAATTGTTACTTGTTTGGAATGATTATGATTCCCTGGAGGGAAGAGGGGCACAAGAAAGCTGGTTAATGTTCAAGGATGGTTGTCTCCAAGCTCAGGAGTGATGCATCATAATGAAGAGGAAGTCAGGTAAAAACGACAGGAGGCTCACACAAATGAACAAGATATTCCTGGACAAATTCAAACACAAAAAGGAAGCCAACAGAGGGTGAATGCAAGAACAGGCAGCCTGGGAGGAATACAGAGAGAGTGTCCAAGCAACGAGGGACCAGGTTAGGAGACCTAAAGCCTTGACAGAATTAAAACTGGACAGGGATGGCAAGGGCAACAGGAAAAGTACATCAGTGATAAATGAAAGAGTAGGGAAAATGTGGGCCCTCTCCAGAAGGAAACAGGAGACCTCGTTACGCCAGAAATGAAGAAGGCTGAGGTAATTAATGACTTCTTTGTCTTGGTTTTCACCAACAAGTGTTCCAGCCACACAGCCCAGGTCGCACAAGGCAAAGGCAGGGACTGGGAAAATGAAGAACCACCGACTGTACGAGAAGATCAGGTTTGAGAACATCTAAGAAACCTGAAGGTGTGTAAGTCCATGGGACCTGATGGGATGCATCTGCTCATTCTGAGGGAACTGGCTGAGGAAGTGGCTAAGCCACTATCCATCATCGTATCTCAGAAGTCATGGCAGTCCATTGAAGTTCCCACTGACCGGAAAAATAACCCTCACTTTTAAAAAGAGAAATAAGAAAGACACGGGGAACTACAGCTCTCTTACTCTCACCTCAGGTCCTGGCAAGACCATGGAGAAGATCATCTTGGAAACTTTGCTAGGACACATGGAAAATAGGGAGGTGAATGGTGACAGCTTCACTAAGAGCAAATCATGTCTGAAAAATCTGGTGGCCTTCTAAGACAGGGTCTATTATTGCTACTGTCAACCATGTTCAAAATCTCATAATAAAGAACTAGTTTTTATATTTCCTCCAGTGTAGCTCTTATACTTGTGCTGGAAAATTCCTATAATCCTTATGAATAAATAATGTGTCACACAAAATATATGCTGAATATTTACAACAAATTTCAATATTACTCTCAACACCCACTGGTCTTTCTCGCTTATTCAGCCAGAACAGAATTTCTCAGGTTGGACAGAATATATAATGGATGTTAAAAATCCAGGTGCCACAAGGAAAGGGTGCCATCATCATTGTGTCATGCTAGAATGTAAGAGCTCTCTTCCAGAATGAAAAGGACACAAAAAGATAACTTTAAAGAAGAACCCTGTTGCAGTTTGACAAAATCACAAACAACTGGAAATAGAGTTATCTAAAGGACAAAGACTGGCAAATTTTATAATTGGCCCTGTTACCATTTTTAGCTAATACACTCCAGAATTTTCAGGAACATATTACTTAATGATAAATTTTCTGTCAGTGTAATGGCTTGGAAGATCTTCACCATTAATGTGCAGCCAAAATGTCATTCCACAGTATGTTGCCACATTACAACATTGACCTAATTTGTCCCCCATATTGTATGTTCAACATAAAATCAGAAATCATGAAAAAAAGGTACTTTCTTGTCTCAGAGGTATTTCAAAGAATTTTAAATAGTATTTTATTACCAGTGTTCCCAAACTAGAAGCATATTAAGGGGATGAAAAAGGAGAATTAGAAAGATAGATTTAACTTGTTTAAAACTTGTAGCTCATTTCTGGGCACTCACTTGGTGCCAATAAACTTTTTTATTTAAAACAAATATCCAGGTGTTTGTTTTTAACAATCTTAAATTACATAGTTTCTATTCTTAAAAAAATTTATTTGCTCTAAAAAATTTGAACATTTTATATACTCTACTTCAATATTTCACTCGTAATGTATTCTCCTTTTCCTCCACCACAAAGCCCACACCAAATAAAGTGTTAAAATTCTTCCAGGCAAATATGCATATGCCTCACATGAACATCTCTTACCTTGGTTTCATATTACTCATAACAAAAAGGCACTAATCGAATCCTTCCGTTATTATCAAGAGACACGAACAGTTATCGCCTTTCATTTTTTAATCACAAATAGAAACAAGCTGTCATCATATTCTTTTTAAGGAATACAAGTTCTGGACATTTTTAGAACACTAAGAACTCTCAGGTGATGCTAAGACCTCAGATGACAACTCATGTAACTCTAGTAGTACTTTACTTAACATCTAGTATACATATGCTTCAATTCTAGGACAAATTTAAGTACGAAAATACAATGGAGTAACTGTATAAATGTGGAAAATATATTTCAGAGAATTTGAGGAAAATCAATAGACAAAAAGATAAATATTTCAGAAAGTTATATACTTAGCATAAATCAAATTGAAAAGGTTCCCAGCTTTAGAGTATGTTTCTGTGCTCTCCTGGCTGATGGAGGAGATGCTAAACTGTGGTCTGAGTCATAAGCTGTCTGAACAGAAATGTCTTAGGAACGTTTTGCTCATGCTGTTTGCTCCACAAGAAATTCATTAACTTCATTAGCAAGATATTTAGATAAATTGTTACATGTATTAAAATGTTTTTACAGACTTAAATACTCAAAAATCTTGAAAGTGTACTCTCATACTAATGACTACTGTCTGCCATCAGAAAAAAAAAGTAATCTACTACTCCCTCCAGAAATCAAGTAAGGAAAACAAGAAACATTGACAAATGGAAATAATAAAACAACTAGAAAATATATTAGGGCATCAGCTGTGACAGCTAATGGCCTGTTTGGCAACTCCTTGAGAAATGAGAGAGAATAAAGGACGAAAGTTCAACAGAACTTTTCTTTTTCTTGATCTAAAGGTGCTTAAAAAAGGCACAAATTCAATGCAACAAAACCATAACCAGTCACAGAAAAATGTCACAAGTCACTTACAGGAACCAGGAATTTTTTTATTTCTTCCAAGGCATGACTCATACGAGAATACGCCTCCCCAGGCGGAGCAAAAACTTCAATTAATACGTGGAGCTCATCACTCAAGTGCGCGTATTTGGCTTCTCCACTTTTCCTTAGTTCTTCCTCCTACAAAAAAAGGGTAGGTTTGGTTTTTAGAACTGAAAATGTACTAATTTTGCAGTGATTTAAAATTTACAGAGAATATGACAGAAGGACATAATATAAGCTATCTTTTAAACCCTTCAAGAAATAAAAGCCTAGTACAAGCCACTTAAAGATTTAAAAATCAATTTTGAGCATTTGAATGATAAAACCAGCATAATTATCATCTACAACAGATTTTAATCAGCATAGTGAAAAAATGCTAAATACTCCAAAAGCAAGTAGCGACATATTAAATCCGTAATTGAAAAGCTGCATTCATCTATCTGAATCTCAGCTCTTAACAAAAAATAAAAAATAAAGATCCATTTAACCATTTTGGAACACTTTAACAAATGCTATGGTTTAGTAATGTCTTTAGGTTCTTTAATGCATTTCTACAGCCTGTACATTTCAGTATCGCTAAAGGAAAATATGCCCTAGTACTTCTATTTGAGACACAGAATCACAGGATGGTTTGGGTGTGAAGGGACCTTAAAGACCAGCTGATTCCAGCCTCCCTGTCACGGACACCGACACCTTCCACTAGACCAGGCTGCTCAGGGCCCCATCCAACCTTGAATACTTCCAGGGATGGGGTATCGCTAACTTCTCTGAGCAATCTGTTCCAGTGTCTCACCATCCTGATAGTGAAGAACCTTTTCCTAATATCTAATCTAAACCTACTCTCAGTTTAAAGCCACTGTTTCTTGTCCCTTCATATATGCCCTTGTAAAAAGTCTCTCTCCAGCTTTCTTGTAGCCTCCTTCAGGTACCGGAATGCTGACCTAAGTTTATCCCAAGCCTTCTCTTCTCCAGGCTGAACAACTCAAATTCTCTTCATAGCAGAGGCCTCCAGTACTGATCATCTTTGAGGTTCTCCTTTGGACTTGCTCCAACAGGTCCATGTGCTTCTTATATTGGGGTCCCCAGAGGTGCACTCAGTACTCAATGATGTCTGAGTTTCAGTTCCAGTTCTGATACAGAGTAGCTATGCAACCCAGTGTGCATCAGTTAAGATGGTGAATCACCTCACCTAGATTTATTTCAACCATCTTTGGGTCCCAGGGTCCCAGTTTTCCAGATATAAAACAAGCCTAATAATCCTACTTCATGTTAGAGTAATGTTCTGAAACATCAATCCACTTTCTTACACAAAGCTTTGAGATAGCAAATGCAAATTGCAATACACACGCATGGTAGTAACCACTTCATAAAAAGCAAAGATATAAAATAGCGATCATGTAAATGGCTATGACAACATAATGAAACATTTATGCCATTACTACACAAGATAGCCATAAGTAATGCTAAAGATATGATGAGTTGAAATCTCAGTCATCAAAAATATTTTGAGAAATGTAATTTAGAAGAAAATATGTACATATAAAAAACATAATCACAGAAAAAGAAGTAAAATAATTTACTTGAAATTGATGAAGTTACAGCTTTTTAGTACATACTAAAATAATAGTTTATGAACACTTAGCTAAAATATAAAAATTGTAACAACAGATTACAATTCTTACTGACTTAAGTCTATTTAATTCTACATTAACTTCACTTAGTTTAGCCTTGACTACTTTACACCATTTCTTGACACCAAAAATATTTGCATGATGCTATGCTTCTAACAATAGACATATAGTTCTTTTTATCCACTGTAGAATATCCAGCACCAATGATTTTTTGATTTTTCACAGAATACACAAGGATAAAATTCCTTTAATGAATTTCTGCAGCTCTACATTTTAGCTCCAGAGTCCTAGACCTGACTCCAGGCTAAGTCAACATTTTGCAGATGATGATAAAATCATAACTCAATAAATGTGATCTATGATTTTATTTTTAAAGGTTGAAAATGGACATAATTTTTTTCAACTGAAACTTAAAAATTAAGATAAGCAGCACAGATGGCAGAGTATTTTTATTTCTACAGTTAAAGTATCTTTGGCATTTTAGCTTATTATTGAAATGTCCATAAGAATCATAGCATAATATAAAAGTCCATCATGATATGTTACAATACTTTTCAGTTTTCTGGGAAAAAATCCCCACACATTTGATTGCTGCTTTCCGAATAATATGGCATAAAGTATTTCAAAAGAATTAAGTTTTAGTAGTTATAAAGCAACATCCTAGAAATTGCTGAATTTTTCTTTCATTGTTTTTTAAAATTCTGGGAAAAAACCCCAAAACACCAGGAAGCCCCAAAAGCTGTCTTTCAGAGGAAGACTGCCAATAAACTTTGTAAAAACTATATATTGGAACTTTTTTCAAATGTAGAAAAAATAAAAAATAATGTTTGGCTCATTATTTTGATTAGGATTTTGCACAGCTAAGACATCAGTAACACGATTTGATAACACAGACCTGTCTTACAGAAAGTTAGGTATATGCTTCTACAGTGGTAACAACAGGTATTATGTGTCTCTTTTATTTCCTCAAAAAAAACCAGGAATTCTTAAAATACATCATTTTATAACCTGCCTCCTTGGATCAGCACATGCTTTCTGTCACTATTCGGCAGTCATTTCTGTAGGAAATGACTGCTTCTATTTAGGATGAAAGTACTGCCCCTTCTCTACCATTGCAGTTGGTTTTGCTTCCTGCTAGTTGTAGCCCTGTTGCACAAACTAAGTTCGCATTAGAAGCCACAGAGCCTTCCTGGAGCTCAGCTTTGGTTTAGTTTCCTAGAAGAGGAGTCCTATAAACTCTGCTCACTATAAGTAATGGGAATTGGGAATAATCAGGAGACTCTCCTCTAAACTGTGCTTCTGAGTTAAACTAAACCACTAACGAATAAACACCCCATGTAGCACTGCTAAGGACTGAGATGGGTTATGAGACTTTCTAGCACATGGTACATTAAGGCAGAATAGGTGAGATCATCATAAATCTATTTTATATGTGTTCTTTACAAGGCTATCTGAATGTTGATGGCCTTGCAAGGCCCTGACGGTCTCTAATGCACCAGTGCAGGACTTTGGATGTTTCTCGTATAATTTCGCTTTAACCACCTGTGAGGTCCAGGTATTCTCTGTGGTGCTGTCTGTAAGTTTTGTCCAGCAATTTTTTAGACTCTGTTCAGCTTGCACAGCCTTGGCCAGGGTCTACCCAGCAGCCAACTTGTTTGCCCACAGCCCAAGTACAGATACTATAACTGCTTAAGCCTACTCATGTAGACATGAACCAAATCACAGTGAAGGGTGACTTGTATTGAAAGACTGATGGATTCACTGTAGAGAACAACCCTGAAAACAATGAAAATGCAGTTAAGTCTTAGGCACTGGATCTTAAGGTAGAAAAAAAACAAACCTGGGACCTAATCAGTTCTGATTTATAAAATGAATGGAATAAATTTCCTGGGATTCTCTATCAGTGATGGCAATTGCTCTTAGTACTCACTCTCAGGTTAACAGTATGGTTCTTATTTAGTTCATAGTGATGAAGTTTAACTTCACTACAGGTTGAGCACATCACCCTCCAGAGACAACTGCCCCTTCATCCTGATCCTCTTCCGCTTCCTTCTGCACGCCAGTTCCCTTCATTTCTCAAGCCTGAAAGAACCCAGCTCCACCCACATTATTTGCTTCAGGCTTCTTTCACACCCTTACTTGCTGCCTTACAGCACGTCTGTCACATGGTGTTCAAGTCCATCCACCTTCCACCTGACGCATGGCTCCACAACCCATTCCCTCATAAAAGGTAACAGGTATTTTGAAATACCTGTTGTGTTTTATAATTTTCAATTGCCCAAAGCAGGGAAAATGAATTATAAAACTCTAAAGCAGAAATATCAGGAGTACCAATGTCTGCAAAAGTGAAGTATGTAACTGATAAGAACATAAAGGCCAAGAAAAATGATGAATTATGTCTGGATGTGAAAGCAGCCTTACCACTCAAAAAAAAAAAAAGCATGTTGACAGAGAACTACTTTCTGTCTGGAATCCTGGTCAAAATGCTTGAATAAAAATACTGGAATAAAGTTGAAAGAAGAAATGGAGTTTGCACGGCAAACAAAGTTACACAGTCCAGACTGATGAATAAAATAACAATAAAATAACAAGATATCAAAGAGTAATAGAAAAGAAACTTGCAACAGGAATTGTGTAGATCTCAGAGATAAATTTCATCAATGCAATACACAGAACTTCCTATAATGTAACAAATACAGTTACGAAAAGAAACTGTGTACTTGAAGAACAATAAGAGAATTGCAGTGGATTTGCAATCTTGCAAGAAATTTGCAAAGAAAAGCATAGTGCAGAGACTAGACAAAGATGATAATCACAGTGCTGCTGCTACACAGGCATTATTCATAAGACCAATGGGCAGTGCTACAGAATAAAATTAATGAGGATGCAGTTTGACAAATGCAAACCTATTTCTTTTTCATCTGGACACAAATGAAAAAATCAAGACGTTGTCTGCCACACTGTAGTAAAAGTAACAGTGAAATATGGGATAACAAGTAAATCAGAATAGATATAACTTCTTGGTGGTACTGGTTTGGATTTAAAAAAAACTTTCAAGTCCTAGGTCCCATCAGTGAAGGAACAGAGAACAAAAGAGAGGAAAAATTTGATAATGGATGAAGCATTGGAATGGTATTCAGCAGAGTACAGAGTGAAGCTGTTAGCTGTTCCTTGACTTTTGTTTTTAAACCAGTTATTTATGAAGAAAATAAAGATGGAGGTGGTGAGCACATGAGGAGAGCTCACATAGCGGAGCAAAGAGCGTGCACGTACAATACCTGCAATAGTGACAGAGACCCCACAATGATACATAGGCATGTAGAAAGAACAGTGCTTACAAGGGAGGAAACTATTGAAGATACAGGTGACAACAATTATTTTTCTATATTTGCTGCATCATTAAAATTTTCGTAGTTCCTTTGGTGAAATGAAGCAGAGAATTGTGTACATTCAGTACTGCCTTAGGCAAACAGGCCCTTCAATCCAAGGGTGCTTTATTTCCTGATA